GCGGAAAACTGGAGAACCTGGGTTGCTGTTAAGGAACTCAAATGAAGTTACCATCGTGGGTATATATAGTGAATAATAGGGGTTCCCCAATATAGTAATTTACATTAAGTTCCCTTAAATCCCTATATTACCCCAGTGTCCATTTCATTTTCCATGTTCTTTTCCATTTGATTCTCCATTATGGGGGGATAACATAGCCCCTAAACCCCAAACCCTAAGCCCTAAACCCTAAGCCCCTAAACCCTAAACCCTAAACCCTAGCTTGCATTAAGTTCCTTAGCAGCAACCCAGGAACGGCACCATCTTGGACTTAGCTTGTAGCTCGGCAGGCTATGAGCTAGAGTCTTAGCTCCTAAAAGGGGAGGGTTTAGGGTTTAGGGCTCCTTGAAGGGGGGTTATATTGGGGTTTCCCAAAATTAGGGTTTAGGGTTCAGGGTTATCTTGGGTTCCCAAAATCAGAGCGTTTTGGGGATTCCTTTAATAAGGAACATGGTATTTTGGGGTCTATACTGGGGTCCCCCTATTTTGGGAAATTACCATATAGGGGGTTGTAGAGGGAGTAATATAGGGATTATTAAGGGGGGATACTGGGAATTTAGACTATGGCTTACATAGGGGGGGGGGTTTAGGATTTGGAGTTTTGGGGGGTCGGGTTTTGTTTACGGCTTGGTGCTAGAGATGTTCAAGTGTGCGGCATCCAAGACCAAGAGCAGAAACGCTTTGGGTTTAGCGCATCTGGGGGCTTCCGAAAATTAGGGGTGCCTTAAAGGGGTTTATAAGGGATATATAGGGTTTAGGGTACTTCTGTGGAGGTCCCTAAAATGAGGATTATCATGCTTCGGAGTCCATACGATCCCCTATTTATGGAAATTACCATCTGTCTCATGCGCATATTCCGTAGCCGGCAACAGGAGTCTAACGAAAAGTGCAAAAGCTGCTCGAGCCCACCTCTTCCGTAAAGTTAGCCGAAGAGATCCAGCAACATAGAAGGTTTAGGGTTCAGGGTTTAGGGTTTCGGGTTCAGGGTTCAGGGTTAATAGCCCCATCAACGTAGACTGCGTCAGAATCTCTCCTCACCGGAAAACTTTGAAGTAAAACTGCGGCCACTGCTACAATCTGGTGCTCGGAGCGCTCTTGTCAGCCCTAAACCCTAGGCCCGAAGCCCTAAACCCTAAACCCTAAAACCCTAAACCCTAAACCCTAAACCCTAAAACCCTAAACCCTAAACCCTAACCCTAAACCCTAGGATTTACGGTTTAGGGTCCATGACGACTTCCGAGGTAATGATGGCACACAGCTGGACTCGTTCAGAGAGTTACTCTGGCGTTATCTTACTGGGGATTAGTAGGGAATACGGGAACATAGTATACAGGGGTTTCATTCCCTTATTCCCTACTGACCACCAGTAAGTTACTTGCAATGTGTGGTTGTTCTGGTTGGGGTGTCCCCTTGTTCTCCTATTTTCTGTTCGGTGTTTTGGGTAGAATTCTGGGGTCTCGTAGGTCTGCATCTGGGAGAAGGGAATGGGTTCCGCAAGTAGGGGTCACTTTGGGGCGTACTTTTACCAAGGATTACACCATTTGAGGGTCTATATTACCCTCTGAACCCCAAACCCTGAACCCTAAACCAAACCCTAAACCCTAAACCCTTCCCCTAAACCCTAAATCCTATTGGGGTCTCCTGTTTTTGTTTACCTCCGTGTGTCCCCAAGGCTCATGCGGTAAATGCTCGTGCTTGAAGTCAGACCTCCGCAGCCACGGTTTTAGGGGTTCAGGGTTTAGAGTTTACGGCTTAGGGGTTTAGAGTTTAGGGCTTAGAGTTTGAGTTTAGGGTATAGGGAGTTTTTCAACAAGGCCTACAGAATCTAGGGCTTCCAAATTCCCAAATCACCAGGTAATCCCTGCACATCCCAAACGCTAAGGGTCCAAGGACCCAAATAATAGGGTTTTAGGGCCCAAATACCATTAATATTATAGTATTTGGGCCCTAAAACCCTATTATTTGGGTCCTTGGACCCTTAGGGAAAGGCTTGCGGCGGGGCCGTTTTGACGAAACTCTTTACCCCAAACTCTGACACCCCTAAGCCCCAAATCCTAAACCTTCGGTACCGCCCCCACCCAGTAACAGTCTATGTTAGGGGGTCCTATTAAGGAATATATACAACCATATGATAATATGATCCAACTGTTACTGGGGGGGGGGNNGTTGGAAGACCTATGGCGTGGACCCAGCAGTCAACATTGCGGCGCTGGCGCAGAAGAAGAACCATACAGCGCCTCGGGGCAGGGCTTTGGATTTTGGATTCGCCAGTTTAGGGTTTAGGGTTTGGGGTTTATAGGGTTTAGGGTTTAGGGACGTTCGTTCCCAAGTGATTGAAAGTGGCAATTCGAATGGAAAATGAAATGGAAACTTGGGTCATACATTTTTTAGGGTGTGCAGTGTAGAAGCCGAAAATAGTTACCAATGTTATGTTCCAAGGTTCGGTCGAAACAACATCGGCCATCATGTAGGCTTCCTTACATCCTCTCCCATGATCGCGTATGTAAACCCAGTTTCCATGTTACATTCATATGTTCTCTGTTCTTTTCCATATGATTTTCCATTATCCCTAAACACTATCATCCCAAATCCCTATAACTATAACACCTTTAAAGCGGCCGCAGGTGTCCATTTCAATTTCCATGTTCTTTGCCAGCCTTATTTTCCATTATTGACCATTCAGACCCTGCATCCCCAACCCTAAATAAACAGTGTCCATCTTCTTCATTATTATTAATTATTGTTATTATTATTATTGTTATTATGAATTATTATCATTGTTATTATTATGATTATTATACAATCCCTATGCAACCCCTTATTATTGGTCATCCAGGCCCCGGCGATAAGCCTCCCGGTGCAAGTTTCAGGGTGCAGGATCTAAGATTCGAGGATTTGCAAAGTGCTATTCCTGAACCCCAAAGTATGTAACAGATTCGCTTTTTTGAGCAGTTGTGCGCCATCGTTTTACCTGTTTTGGAGGTTTGGTTTTGAGTTGTTTGAACTCGCCATGTGGAATGCAAACGCAACTTTCGCGAGGGTTCCAGGGATAGAGTGCTTACGTATAGATATGTCGCATTGGGCGTTGTCAGGGGCAGCGCTTCCATCCCTAGATGCCTTCTTAAAGGTGGTCGGTAGGGGATGAAGGAATGTCATCCCTGTTTCACCCTATAAACCTTAAACCGTTCAATGTGTACCCTTAGTTCCTTACTAACCCCCGCAAGCCTTAGGTGTCGAAAGATCGAAGCCCGGCGTTGGTATGATCGCAACTCCATCCCTGTAATTAAACCGGAAGCTGCAGCCGTAAACCTAAACCTTAACCCAAAACTCCGACTCCGAAAACCAAACACTAAACCCGTAGGGTTTAGGGTTTAAGGTCCCTAACCCCGAACACCCTTTGATGCATAATATAGTCTCCTTAAGTAAATAGAATATGGCTTTGGGTATATGATAATAAGATCCCCAGATATCCCATATTCTATTTAATTTAGGGGGACCAAAGCCCTAAATCCTAAACCCTAAACCTCAAGCCCAGATAAATACAAATTGTATAGGTCAAAAGTTAAAACGGAAACTCGCTCAAAACCCGCTCAAAACTCTGGACCCGAACCCTATACAGTTTGTATAAATCCTAAACCCTGTAGGTTCGGGTGGGATTCTGGCCTTTGGACTTCCCGGAGCTTCCGCGTGGAGATGCCTTGACTGCGATCACGGCACAGAATCTCCGCTGGCTTTCGCCTGGTTCTCAGGGTTTAGGGTGTAGGATTTAGGGTTCAGAGTTTAGGCATTAGGGTGCATGGTTTCGGGTGTAGGGTTTAGCCTTTAGCTTTTGGTTAGGTTTAGGATTTAGGGTTCAGGGTTCGGGGATTAGGGTGCATGGTTTAGGTTGTACAGTTTGGCCTTCAGGGTGTAGGGTTTTGGGTTTAGGATTTAGTGTTTTCAGGGCTTGGTTTTTTTTAGGTTTCCTACCATTCAAATCCTGCATTTCGGGAGCTTTAAACCTTTTGCCCTAAACAATAACCCTACATCGTAAGAACTATACGCCAAATCCTACAGGTGTAGTACCCATTTCCGCTTTTTATTTTGTGGTCTCCTTACTAATTAAAATTGCATCTTAAGAAAAAGAGTACCCTAAACCCTAGGGGGTCACTGGGGAACCTAGACAGCTGGCCTAGGAATGTGCTCGCGCACGTCCCCAATCCCGTCGACTTTCTCAAGGCATGTGCCTGGGCTTGTTGAACAAAAGTTTACATGCTCATGTATACCTGGGCCCAATATAGATTTAAAATGATGATTTTAAAATAGTATGACAACAAGAACCCAGGTGCAGACGTCATGGGTGCAAAGACGAAGTTGCAGCTGGGCTTTGGGCTTGCCAAGCGCGTTTTAGGGTTAAGGGATTTAGGGCTTAGGGTTTAGGATTTAGGGTCTAGATTTCCCATCTTCCCCATAAATTTCCCGGGCACCTTAGGGGGATTCCCGAAATTAGGTGCGCGTCTTTGCGTGGGGGGCGCCTATGATATGGATCATGGTATTTCGGGGTCCATGTTCAGGCCCCCTTATTCTATGGAAATCACCTTATATATCCCATATAATCCCCTACATCCACAGCTAAAGCGTTGGTTTTTCCAGGGCTCCAGGGTAGGTCTATGCTTCGTAGGTCTGGGCGTGTACATACTTCTAAGGGTAGAAGTATCCCCCTACGGACCCTTAAGGGTACATATAGGGCTATACAGGGTATATCGTAGGTATATAAGGATCCCATGGTTAAGGGCCCATACTAGGGGCCTGTGGTTTCAACCTTAGATACAAAAGCATGCATGCAATCACTGGCAGGAGCCTTAACATCAGCACCCAAACGTGTACTTGCAAGACATTGCTCGGCAAGTTGTTGTTAAGATGCCGCAGCTACTGTATCATTATTGGCCCTAAGCCTTAAGCCCTAAGCCATAAACCGCGAGGTACATTCAAACATCCCAATGCAACATGCAGCAGTTGGGTGAGTTTGACACCGTCTACCACGAACACATCTCCTTCTTCACAGGGCACTCGTTCCACAAGGCGCGACTCCAAATCCCCGTAATAAAGCCTACTGACAATCTACTAGTACCATATGCTCCAATCCCGGTGATCACTATGATAACTATTAGTGTTCTATATTCAATTAAAGAATCCCGATAATCACTCTGGCCTGTTAATAATCCCGCTCTTCTCGCCCGAAAGGCAGCCACTCTTGCTGGATTACAGATTGCCACGTTCGAGACTACTCCCATCCATGGCACATCTTGTTTGGTGACACTCCAGAAAGGTGGTACTAAACTCAGTCTTTGACAGCAGCTTTCGCACCCTTATATGGCAGTGTCCCAAAATAATGGGACCCCAATATAGAGCCCAATATGCTATAATCCTTACCGTAGGGACCCCCAATATGGTACCCATGAAACCGCTATAACTCATAATATTATCCCTTACATTAGGGTTTAGGGCTTAGGAATCATGATATTATCCCTAACATTAGGTTTAGGGTGTAGGGTTTAGGGTTTAGGGCTTAGGAATCATGATATTATCCCTAACATTAGGGTTTAGGGTTTAGGGCTAGGAATCATGATATGTATTATGCCTGACATTAGGGTTTAGGGCTTAGGAATCATGATATTATCCCTAATAATAGGGTAGTTGTCGCTGCATTAGAGAAACAATGGGTATCTGCCCTTAGGTTGAAATTTAGCGGCATGGTTTCTAATTACATCTGTGGTAGTCAGGACCAGGACATGGCAAGATGGATGATGTACCACTTGGCTCGACAGCCTTGGATCCTGTGAGCACCTGCGTCCAGCTAGGCCCTGCGATGCTTCTGGGCACATATGCGCCCTGGAATCACAGTAGAAGCGGATTGCTAAAAGAAGTTGAAACGTCTGCTCATGTTGGGCTACCTGAAGTTCAAATCGCTGCCTTTGGAGCCGCAGTGCGCGCAATGCTTCAGGCGCTTTTTTGGGGACGACGAGGATCATCGGCAACAGGGAAGGCCGGCATCCCCGGATCCCATGTAGACTTACAAGGACAGAGGTTGCTCACAAAGTGTTGAATTCGGGCATTGCTGAATTGATGATGTCGGCTGCGCCGATTTCTTATTCAGAGACCCCTGTGTTTGCTGACGGCTTGACTAGGATGATCTATTTTGCAGTTAAGGCCTCATTCGCCAACTCTGGCACGCAGCCAGTTCCGAACATGGTGAGTTTGGTGGCAGGGCAATGTGCGGTGCTTGCACGTGCCTAGGGACTCGTTCAGACAGCCTTCTTTTTTTCCTCGCATCCAACTCTCAGGCCTAAACAGGGTCTGCGGTTCTCACTGAAGAGTTTGTGTGCCAGGCGTGTTGCTGGGCAAGACTTGCTGAAAGATGGCAGCGTGTATGTGTGTGCAAGCCTTCACCGGATGTCAGGCTTTGGGAGGCAATCGTTCCGATGACCTGGCAGGCCGAGGAAAATCAGTGCCACCGCTCCTGAGTTGTTCTTTCCGCAAACTCCCAGGGCATCAACATTTCAACGGCTCTAGCCGGCAGCCGCGAGGCCCACGAAGCAAAAACAAAAGGAACAAAGATCAACTCGCCCGGTCGTTCGCCAGGTGCGCAGTCTTCTGCGCGAAGGCCGCCAGCAGAGCCAAGAGCCGGGTGCCAAGGGAGCAGTACGCACCATGCCAATAATGAAGTTATTGTAGCTAGCAGCGAATAGAGTACAGCATTCAGCACAATAGTAATGAGAATAGTTGTCCCAGAACCCCAAAGGAACAATTACTCAGCAGCTCCCGCAACTTTGCTGGTCTGTGGTCTTCCCAAGCCCCGAATCCGCAGGAGGATTCTATGCGGGATCTCAACCTTCAACCAGGCGCATCCGGCGTTAGTTCGGAGTTGGGCTGGTTGTGCCTATATCCAGAAAAGCGTAGATCTGCTTCCTCAAAGAAGGGGTTCCCGGGTCGCTCCTGGAGTAGGTTTAGTGCTGGAAGAAGCTTTTTGTTGGACTCCGGAGTTGTCTTGGGACGCTTTGGAATGCTCGGGAGTACTCGTTGAGCGACGCCGGCATGGCTTGGACATTAGAAAATTGACAAGAAGCAGCGCAAGCCTCATTGGTAGCAAGCCCAGGAGAAGCGGGGAAAATTACACGGTTCCAGGATGCCCGGGGCTGGGCTGGTCAATCGGCATACGCACGTTCAACTCAGAAGCCACAGCTAGAACACCAAGCATTTTGCAGGATTACACCATGGTCAAGGTATTTACTACCTGCACTTTTTCAAAAGCCTTCCAACCATGCAGAACATAGTATAGGAGCTGGCAACCTACGAGCGGCGTTCTTTTGCTTTCTGACTTTCTGATTGCAGATGGAGCGGGTTTGTCGCCAAACGGGTTTCGTTGTTTTATCCAACAGCAGCTGTACACTGCGGCGGGCAGGCGGTGCCAAACTACATAATTTGCGATGGCGATGATGCCGAGTTGGGGTGGGGGCCTTCCATGGGGCAGTTCATAAACATTGCTGAGACGGTTTGCCCTTGTCGCATGCTTTGAGGTTGGACAGTCTGCAAGACGACCCTGAACGTGATGGCATGGCTCCAAGTGAAGTTGGCATTCTTTGACAGCTTTCCGCCAGCGATTGGGTAAGGTACCCCGAAAGTGCAGCACCTGCCAGAGGGCTGTGTCACCTAAGCGTTGTTACAGCCTCGTCCTCAAAGACTTGACCGGCTAACTCTGAGCTGAGGTGCCCATCACAGGTTGGGCAACGGCATGCGGCCACACAAGCGCAGGGAGGCGCCTCAGCATTGAGGCAAGTTCTTATGGCGGTCTGATTTCTCGATGTTTACAGGCGAGGCTCCACTACTACCATCACCTCGCAGATGAAATCTTCCTGGGCGTTAAGGCTGGGCGGCTTTTCCTACCCCGAAGTGGGCACTCCTCCTGTGGTCTGTGGTCCTATGGGTTGAAACAGGATGACTTAAACGATTGTCTTGAGGTTGAATTCACTGGCCCCGATGCGCTCAGCGTTTGCTCCCCGGGCCACCTACGCGCCTCTTTGCAGTTTCCAAACTGATGCAACCAGGAGCCCTGCGAGCCGCTTGAGCTTGAGGCGGTCATAGCAGCATTCAGTGTAAATGAGAATAGTGCCACAAGAAGAATATACTGAACCTTGCTGGTCTTTGTCCCAATGTGCAGGAAGATCATGAAGATCCTATGTGCAGTATTTGAACCTTCAACCAGGCGCATATCAGCAGGGCTAGTTCGGAGTTGGGTTGGTCGTGCGGGGTTGCTGTTATGGCTGCCACTGCCAGCCCCGCTTTGGCTAATCTTAGCAGCAACAGTAGTACAGTGCTTCAATTTCTCTAGAATGCGTCGCTGGGACCCCACCGAAAAGAGCTCAGGAACCAGCGCACTTGGGATCATCCATCAGATTTGGAACTCTGAGCTTTTTTTTGCATGTTTTGCCAACAATGGGTTCATGGTACCACAGTGGAGAACTAAGTAGAAGCAACCATGGACAACGAAGCGTAATCTAGGGATATGTCAGGATTCACGGTATCAGTCCAAAGCCCACTCGAGCCCTGTGAAGGCGGGGAAGCTCAAGAGCTTGTGGCGCTCACATCTTGCCGCGCTTCAGGGCCCGCAACTCCAGCCTGAATGGGCTGCTGAACTGTGGGAATACAGGGTGTCTGCGGAGTATGGATGGCCCAAAGACAACATTCTACCATTTAGGTAACTGGGGAGCTAGGGAGTAACAACAAGAAGAAGAGCCATTAGCAGCATCACGAACAGGTGGTTTTCAGTCGTCATTGTCATATTCTGTTGTCCATACTGAGAAGGGAGTCTTTGTAGGATCTTCTGGCTTCCACCTAATCTTAGTTCAGAACGATGCAAGGCATCTGTCCTGCAACACGATACAAGATGTAATAGCGTGCGGCTCTTCTGCCTCGGTGTCACCGAACCTGAAGCCAGTGGGCATCCTGTGCAAGAAGGCACTTTCACGGGTGCTACGCGTTTGAACATCTCAGGGCTTTTCGGGGAGGGGGGAGGGGGCGAACGGCTTGTCACAGCTCTCCCTACGATCTTGTGATGGGGATTCCCAATCGTCATCTTCCAGGACATGAGGCCACATAGGGCTTAGGGCTGCTTGACTCGTTTATTCCAATCGAGAATGTATGAAGCCTGACTTGTTCAGGGTTTGCGCGGTGTATCTTGGATCGTTTCATGTGGTGTCAGCGGGCGAACATCCGCAGCAATTTCTGTTCACGCGTGGAGCACTCGCACTTGGGACAGCGGAGAAGGCCGAGTGCTGTGCGCTGTGGCCTGTGTTGCTTGCACTAGTTGAGTCTGAGATGCCAACAGCTTTGGCTTTGTGAGCCCGGCAGTAGATCCGACAAAGAGAAGGCCTAGTGTAGGATACAGGTAGCGCCTCAAGTCAAATGATCCCGCAATCGCTTCAGCTTTGTCAGTTCATTTTTGAGTGTTGGTCATAGTTGCTCGAAAGGAACTTAAGCCGGCCCAAGCAAAAAAACAAATCAATTCGTTGCCTGAGGGATTTGTCGCCGTACTGTCACCATGGAGGCACGGAATCCAGAATGCAGTTAATGCAGTGATGCAGTTGCAGCTATTGGCATGTCGGACCCCAGCTTACCTAAGAGTGGGGTTCCATTCTCTTGCAGATTAAGCTTGGGGCGGAAAATCTCAGTATTTCCTACTCATGTGTTCGGCCCAAAGAGGTCAATTCTTGTCATGCCACTATCCTCGAGCTTCGGGCATGAATTGCGGTCTACTCAAATTGGCCGCTCTTTTTCCGGTGATCCAAGTCTAACATGATATTGGGTCTATGCCATATGCGTTTGTTTGTACGTCTGAAAGTTTAGCTTCAAGCTTGAATAGCTGCAATGAGATCCTAGCCTGAATCCCAAGACAAGGCCTCAACCCACGCGGAATGACCCGGGCATCCGTGACATGTCCAGTCGAAACAGGCCATGAAGATGGAGCTCTGGCAGGCCTCTGCGAGCTCTTTGCATCAGGGCGATGGCGCAGTTGGGTGGGGCCCAATCAACAGCAGTTTCTTCACAGCTGCTTTAGAATCCAAATCCGGGAAATGACTTTTAAGCAATTTTCTGAAAGCACCTTGGCTGCCGTACAGTCATGCCATTCAGGCGATGGGGGACAAAGACGAGCACAAAGTTGCCCGTCTCAAGGTCCGGTGCCCGAAGATTTCAGCGATAGCATTATCAACATTTCTTGCACATGCATATGCAATACCTCACTTGATTAGTGATATGCAGTTACGTGCCACAATTGCGCCCCCGGAACTTACGAATCTCCATTGGGCCCGGGTAATCCAATCCCTGCCGCCGCTTGCGCAAGCCTTGCCCCAAGTCCCATGGAAAAGTCTTGCACGCTCGTTGTTTACGGCAGACTCCACTTGTAAATGACAGTTGCCTGATCTCCGTGCAAACTGCAGAAGATTGAGGAGCGTCTCGCCTCGGATACTTGTAGGCTTCTAGTTTCACAAGCGCTGCCGCCATCAAAGCTGTAGGTCGTTCCAACCGACATAGTTCCTGCTAAGCTCGGCTCGAGCCTTTCATCTATACACTATTATTTATTATTATTATTCGTATTTTTTATTGGGTTGGATTCGCACCGAAGGCTACTGCAATTGGCTGCTACCAGCTTTCTCAACAAGCCATCTTTTCAGCCAAGGCGGAGCTAAGGGCAGCGCAGGGCACGGCCCCGCAACACAGCTGTGCTGGAGGCTGGGAAGTGGAGCAGGCCGGCAGAGTCTGTCAGAGAAACGTGAATTCGAGTGCTTTGAAGCTTGAAGCTGCCGCTTGCGCAGACAACAGCCCTTCGCCTTTGTGTGTTGCGCTTCACCGCTGTAGGCACAGCTGTCTTCGACGATGGCGGCAGCAATGCCTGGTCGCCAGACATGCAGCGCTTCGTCCAAATGGAGGCTGGACCCTGCGCCCTGATGGCGGCTCGCTGCTGGCAGCTGTAAGCACGCTATGCACATTTGTACCTGTATATGGCACTTATGTTGAAGAGCGTTGTTTTATGGCTTTTGCCCAGAGGGGAGTCGAAGCTGAGTTGCATTTTGTCGTGCTTTCCTCTCTGCTGCTCTGCCGGAATGCACGCATCTTGGTGCCGCGGCATTGGACGATATCTTGATTGAAACCCCTATCAGGATTCTCAGGGGAGGAAGGAACACCTTGCCTCTGTACGTGGGTGGTTTCGGGTTTAGGGTTTAGGTGCCAACGCATGAAGCCCGAGCCCGAAATCATGAATTCAGGGTTTCTCACGCGAATCACGACGCAGTCCTTCAGGGGTCCCCTATACTCTCTTTGTACTCCGCATATGGTAGTTTTCCAAAATATGGGGACCAGAGCATAGTCCCAACAATACTGTAATCCTTGCTACGCTATGGGGACCCCCAAAATGGTACCTATAAACCCTAAACCCTAAACCTAAACCGTGAACCCCATGTATTTCTACATCCCTAAAGTACAGCACCCAACTTTGTAGAAACTCCAAGCTTAGGCAACGAGACGATATCCCCAACATTGCAAGAACGCCTGGTGCAGGAGAAGCAGGCAGTCCACTTGAGAAGTTAGTTCATGGTCTCAGGGTTCAGGGTTTAGGGTTCAGGGTTAGTTAGGGTTTGGGGTTAAGGGTTCAGGGTTTAGGGTTTAGGGTTTAGGGCTTAGGGTTCAGGGTTTAGGCTTTAGGTTTAGGGCCCACGATTTAGGGTCTTGGATTTCGAGTGTACAAAAACAAGGGGATCCCAATCTGCCCCCTAAACTACTACCGTTTGAAGTATAGGGTTTAGGGTTTTTTTAAAGGTTTAGAGACAGAATGCTGGGAAACCTCGTGAGGCTGTATGTCCTTACAGATATGCACGCGTATGAGCCATCGTCCAAACCCTAGTATCCCGTTAATATCCCTTATAATGCTCCCCTATACAATGCCCTATATACCCCCCCTTAAGGAGTTTAGTCTTTCGCTCATGTAATCTCTACAACCCCTGGGAGGCACCCTAAACCCTAAACGCCCTAAACCCTACCCATCACTTTCGGAATTCCAGGTAGGGTGCTAAGACTTGGTATCCCTCACGTTACCCAATTCCCGGAAATTTGCCTAAACCCCTAGGGCTTAAGGTTTCCTGTTTGTTGAAGGTCAGGGCTTTGGTATTCTGGAGAACCACAAGCCCTCTACCTGGCAAATCATAACGAGCTGACCCGACCTCACCCCAACTGAACCCTACTCAGAGGCGTTTGGGTCGCTCAGGAAGTCTCCAGGACCCCAAACCCTGTTAGGGTTTAGGTTGGGTTTAGGGATCTTAAATACAGGATTGTTTTCCACTTTCTTTTCCAGTCCTAAAACCACCCTGACCCTCCAAGTACTTGGTGTATCCCCCTGCCCGTTCAGGGTTCTGGGCCGGACTTGGGGCTTGGGGGCTTCGCATATCAAAGCTCCCTATGTTTCTGAGAAGCAATTTCTATGAAGCCCGTTCCACTAACCAGCAACAAGAAGCGTTCCCTTCCTGTAATATGAGCCATAGTCTAAACTCTCCTAGTATCCCAATTAATAACCCCTATAGTAGTCCTCAATATCATCCCCTATGGGATTAGGGCAGTTACGTACAGGGCGTAGGTTCCAGGATTCCCTTGGGCTGTATCTTCGGCTTGGCCAGGTACATTGGTTTTCCTGGATTGCTGTTAAGGAACTTAGCTTAAGTTTCTGCATCGGGGAAACCTATTAGCTACTATAATATTTAACCAGCCTGGTACCTTAGTTTAAGTTCCTTGAGAGCAACCCAGTTTCGTGTGGATGAGACTGAAGGGGACCCATTGGCTGTTTTTCCAGGAAGGTCGAGAGCCGAAACCTGAACCCTCAAGCCTTGCTTTTAACCAAGACCTGGCCTTACTGGGCTTAGGGTTTAGGGTTCAGGGTCTATCGAGGGTTTGTAGGCTTCAGGTTCTAGGATTTACTGCTTTCTAGTCAAGGTTGTAAGGTCACGAGATGCCTTGTATACTTACGGTAAGGAGTATGTCAAATTGACCACGAAAGTTGATTCGGCTTCTATTTAGGGTTTAGGGTTCTACATTACGTGGCCGGTTTATATAGACCCTACAAAAGCCGCTGTCCCTTTCTATTTTTCTTGTTCTTTTCCATTTTTCCCGGTTGCTGGCATGGCTTCCAGAGATGAGGGTCTTCCTACATAGCCCCCTATATATGGGGGTGTCCCAAAATTAGGGATACCCTTCTGGGGGTCCCCATAATAGGGACTATACTATTTTTGGGTCTATATTGGGGTCCCATATTTTGGGAAAGTACCATATATCATTGTCTTTACAAAAAGGATCCCGGAAAGGTACCCTCATTTTTAAATGCCCATGGGAGGTGTACTGAATTATTGGGCCCTCCCAATGGGTTCCCCTACTACCCCCCTATCCTGTCAGGGTTACCCCTGAAATGGACTCAATTAGCCCCAATTAGCTGTTGCTATCCTTAAATCAGGAAGGGGCGATATGTAGGGGGTTAGTGGTGAAACCCATGACAGGACGGTGTGACCAACGAGTTTTTCGCAGAGACGTACAGCGCCAAGGCTCTGGCAATTCGCGAGTGGGTGCTCCGGGAGATATCAAGTTTCAGGTCGAAAGGCAGCTCGGCTGGCTTAGGGTTCATGGATTCAGGGATTCAGGGGTTCAGGGTCTGGGGATGTTTTTGGGCTTGGGGCTGGAATGAGGGAATGAATTATGGTGGCTATGTTTGGGGACTATATAAGGAATTGTTTTGGGGTTCCTTTCCTCCAGTGTCTACTAATCAGCGTTTCTAAGCCCAAAAAAGTGAATGATCATAAACAATCTAGCAGCGTCTATGTTCTATTTCTTCGGTCACTAGTACCTGCAGTACCGACTCACCACCAGTAAACTTGCTGAAGCCTCGCAGGCGGTAAGCGCTCTGCACTCAAAGCCCTAAACCCTAAACCCCTAAATCCTAGACCCTAAATCGTAAACCCATACCCCAAGGCTCCCAAGTCCCCCCCTCCTGGCTTTGATAAGCCCCCAATATCACAGGCAAGAAGCTAAAGCTGAGTTGCCATTTAGCGTTGATGGTGTCGGGTTTGGGCAACTATACTATCCCTCGGTATGTGCATATGTTCTGCCGGCTAAGTTTCCCAAACCCTACGTAAACCCTGAACCCAAAACATCAGCCCAGGCTATATCGTGGGTGCCTATGGTGCTGCGGCCAAGGGTATGACACTGCTGCATTTCATCTTCGGGAGCAGTGCTAAAGCTGCAGGCGACTTACCTGGTGATTCGTGGGGAGCGAGGGATTGGGTTATAGGGGTTATCCTAGGGGATTCGAATAGGGACTTCTGTGGGGATGCGTTCCTCCGTTCTAAACCCTAAACTTGAGATTCTACAGCCTAGAAGACTACACCCGAAACCCTCAAACCCTAAACCTTAAAACCTACTGTGTCTTCAGTTTTTCTTGCTCATTCCCTGTCGCAAGTAAGGGGAGTCCCTACTAAAGTTCGTACTGGATGACGCCCCCTTGAAGCAGAAGCTTGGACAGTGGCTAGTAATCATAGTGGTTTAGGATGTAGGATTTAAGGTTTAGGGTTTGGGGTATCAGTATTCAGAAAGGTGATGATAGTAAGTAATCATTACCCTAGCATCGTGATTGACAGCTAGACTAGCAGTAACATCGGTATTGGCAATGATGTTTGTACCTGTGGTAGTCGTAACACTTCTCACGAGTATAGTGATAGCGGTGATCGTAGCAGTGCTATTCTTACTCTGCACTTGCGAGCTCTCCGCATTCGTGGCAACAACAAGTATGTGGAATTAATTCCATGCGATTTCCGCAAACAACTAAGGAACACCTATTGCCCCGGGACATCCATCCCGGTTCGACCCACACACAGCCTCTTGTCTGACAGGAAGTGGAAATGAGTTTCGCCTCTTGTTGGTTCAGGTTTGCAAAGGTAGCCAGATTGTTCTGGGTAGCTCTCCAAACTCCACCAAGCAAAGGTTGGGTTTGGGGGTTAGGGTTTATGGTTCAGGGACTCCCTAGGGCGGCTTGTGTAGAAATAGTCACGGATGGCCTTCTTTCAGGCTTTCTAGGTAAAGTTTTCATCTACCCAGCAAACTGGAACACTACCATGTACTGGTAATAGTTCTAACTATCATAATTGTAGCCGAGTACTAGTAGTCGTACTGGTACGCGTACTCGTACTAGTAGTAACGACAATAATAGTAGCAAAAGCAGTAGCAGTAGCAAAAGGAGTAGTAAGATTTGTAATGGTTAACAATTAGTAGTTTCCCAAAATGAGGGAACCCCAATATAGACCCCAAAATATTTTAATCTTTATTATTGGGACCCCCAAAATGGTACCCCTAATTTTGGGGAACCCCCAATTAGTAATAGTAGAAAGAATGATGTTTGTTGAATCTCCGTTGCGATCTAAGGCCTTCCAGAGCTGGAAGCTGGTCGCCCCATAGCCATTCTCGTGTCTGGGTTGCTGTTAGGGAACTTAAATTTAAGTTACCATAATGGGTATATATAGTAAATAATAGGGTTTCCCCAATATAGTAACTTAATTTAAGTTCCTTAACAGCAACCCAGGTGTTGGCCTGGAACTTCTTTGATGAGATCGCAGGCAGGATAAGATTCTAGCCTCGCAAAAAAAGTTTCGCGCGTTTACGTTGAGGGTCCTTTGTAGTCAGCGCCTGGACCCTAAACCCTAAAGTGGCTGGCGAAACGAGCAGGGTGGCCTGATCTATATATGGGGATTTTTCAACAGAGGGGTAAGTATGTAGAGCGTTTATAGGGTTTAGCCCTAAACCTTAAACCTTAGATGCACTGTTAGGGCTCCCTGCAAGGATTATGCGGGGTTCATTTCGAGGAACTCCCATATCTATCCAATCCATGATGTGGAAATTGATCAAAAAATAAAAGACCGAAAGGAAGACGCAGAATCCCCTTGTAAAATAGTATTTTCCCTACATGCCGGGACCCCAAAATAGACCCCAGACCAAAAAACCCTAAACTCTAAACCTTAATGCGGTTTAGGGTTGAGGGCTTCGGGTTTAGGGTTAAGAGTTTAGGGTGCGGGGTTAACGGTTAAGGGCTTTTGGTTGAGAGTTTGGGGTTTCGGGTTTAAGGGTTTAGGCTTTAGGGTGAAGGGTGAAGGGTTTAGGGACTGTGGGATCCAAGGAGCAGCGGGAACAAAGCAGGAAGTTGTGGCGCTCGTCCCTTTCCCTGAGCCCCGGGTGCTTCGTTGCTCGGCATGGTGTGAAGCTACTCAAAAGGGATTGAGGGTTTACCTTGAAACCCAGACCCCCTAAAGGATCCACAAAATGGAACCCCCCCCCAATATGAACCCATTACTACATTGGGGTAGCTAGGGGATTATTAAGGGGTTCCATTTGTTGGATCCTTTAGGGGGTCTGGGAAGGGGATGTAAGGGGTTGTATAGGGGGATATAGGGTTGTGGGTCCAGGACTTAGGGTTCAGGGATTAGGATTTAGGGTTTGTGGCTTAAGGTTTCTCAAAAGGATGGTTACTTTCTGGATAATTTTTGGGGCCCCCTATAATATATTGGGGTCTACATTGGGGTCCCCCTGTTTTGGGAAACTTTTTTGTAGGTAGGATTTCGGGTATGAGGATATCTGGAGTTATTGTATACCTTGTAGAGGGGATTCAGGTTGAGAGCTCTTGTTTTTGGTTTCGGGTTTAGGGACATCTGGGGTTACTGTATAGCTTATAGAGGGGTTCAGGTTCAGAGCTTTGGATTTAGGATTCGGACTGCACGGTTCTTCAGGCCGCCAAAACAGTCATGGAATCCCCTACTACCGCCCTCCATACTAACCCCCCCCTCCCCCCGGCCCTTTTTCCGAGGTTCCCCCCCTCAATTAAGTTAGGGGGGGGTAGTAGAGAGGGGGGTAGAAAGGGAACCCATGAAACAGGTATGAAGAAACCAGGATTCTGCAATCCCCGTACTTCGATCCTTGACCCTAGCCATGGAACTTTGATTAATCAGCAAACCTGGTGAACTGGTGTTAATGGAGTCTGGGCTAGCATTTCTCTTGCAAACATTCACTCTGTTCCGGCGACCTCCACAATGGCACCAACGCTTTGAGACACCTCGGAATCCTCGGCACCTACAAAGCCCCATGGACCCTGCCAAGCCATCGAACGTCCCAGATTTGAAAAAGTCTCCAGCATGCGCATCCGGAGCCCAAGTTCCATCTCGTTTTGCATGTTATTTTCCATTGCATTCTTCGTGATTTTCCGTATCCACGCGCCTTAGCCCTAACCCCAAAACCCTGAAACCTGAACCCAAAACCCTTAAGCCTACCCTCAACCCTGAAACCCTGAACGCAACACTTAGGTCTGGGATCCAAGGCCAGCCGGTGACTTGGGCCTGATTACAGGGATCTGAGTTTAGGGTTTAGGAGTGAGGGTTTAGGGTTTGGTTTAGGGCTTTAGGGGGACGTAGTAAAAAAAAGGTTTCAGGCTTTACGGCTTTAGGGCTCAGGGTTTGGGATTTCGACTTTGTGGGACCCTGGGGTCACGAACAAAGGTGTTAGTGTTGATAGGGGTTAAACCCTAAACAGCTATGGTATATCGTCAAACTTCACGGCCCGGCAAGAAGAATTGTATTTGGTCACACAAACAAGGATTAGGTAAGGGTAGCCTAAGCCTCAGGTCTTAAGCCCTTTGAATTGTGTAGAAAATATGTAAAGGATTTTTTGGACTCCAGAATAGAATATTTGAGATCTTCCCAATGGTCTAGCAAGAGTTCTACACCACCCCAGATAAAGGCAATCAATAATTACCAACCCCCCGCTACAGGAACCTCTCCCCCACCTTTCAGGGCTCATAACAGTTTCCAATAGGAATAGACTTCCCCGATCTATGGCAATGCCATAGCTTCTTCCTCCCACCTTTCACCACGCCTTTCGAGCTTCCTCGGTCACCGGTCACCCCCCCCCCCCTCCCCCAACGCCAAAAAAACAAAAATCCTAAACCTTCAACCCTAAGCCTTGAACCCCACGCCCTCAATCCTAAGACCCTAAACCCTAAATAGTAGCTTTCGTTTTCTTTTCCATCAGCCCAACCCCGCAGTTTCCATTTTTCTATTATCCCACTAGATTCCCTTAAAGCAGCCCAGGCCGCAGCACCTCAGGAGCCTCCTTCACCGCCCAACACCTATCCCCAACCCAATGCGCAACACCTCGCGGCGCAACACATCGATGCTGGGCTCATGTAAGCAGCATTCTAACTTAACTGAACATGTGCCGTGGAGCAATAGAAATGGAAAATACGTTCTTGGCATTATATAGTCCCCATCCCTATACTTGGTCAGGGGGAGCTTAGTAAGTATAACCCCGAAAAAAGCCACGTAATAAACCCAGTTATCCCATTCATTAACCTACCTACTAAGTCCGCCTAGCCCCCGCCCAAGTATTCTTTTTATGCGGGCAATTGAAGTGATATCGGGCATGCGGCCCTATACCCTAAACCCTACACCCTAAATCCTTGACCCTAAGCTGCATGGGTATGCGGCTTATCATACGGTTCACAGGGCTAAGGGCTGAGTTTTAAGAGGAGCATTTTCTTTGGAAATATTCGAGTCGCCAATAGAGAGTAAGACTTTAGGGTTTAGGACTTGTGGTTTATAGAACTACTTGGTTCAGCCACCAACAAACACTATTCACGATTGATGTTATATTTAAGCTTATGACTTAGTGAGAATCAGAAAAGGTAGTGCATATTCATAGGTGTGGTAAAGTCATGGAGACAGGTAGACATGTGAGTACAGATGCAAGTGCAAGAATATGCGCAGGCATATGTACAAACATCATTACAGGCACGAGGAATGCAAAAGCAGCTATCAGCATCAGCATGCATGCAGCGGAGCCTCATCGCAAGTGGTCCAAAAAAACTGAGGCCGAGAGAAACTGTCAGGCTTGATGAGGTTTTGCTGGCAGACACAACCTGAGATCATTGGCAGCATGGCATGAGGATTCTCCGTGCATACATGTAACGTGAGTGCTCAAGCGCCCCGCGATCATTTCCGTGCCCTCCTCCCTCGCTATCTACCGCTCGCGACAATGGTTGTCGTCCTGATCCCTTCGGGCATGGCCGGCGGAGCTGCTCAGGCAAAGACTCTCAAGCGGCTCCGCAAGGCAGGGACGCAGCGTGCACGTCTTGTCCTGTGCAAGCTGTGCAATGTATATGCGTTCTTGGGCAGGTGACGGTTCCGGCGAAGGAGGCTTCGAGCGGCGACGCGCACTGCCGGTGTTAGGTGCTCATGTTCAAAAACGCTTCCCCTGACAGGCGGTCTTGGCGGTCCGTGTGCCCGAAGAGGAGCTCCCGAAGGCGGGGCTGGAGCTTTTGCGGTAGCGGCGTCTCTGGTGCTGCTCGAAGCCCTTGTTACGGCAGGAAGCGGTGGAGGGAGGCTTAGAAGAGGAGCTCCAAGCGAAGGTCTCCGGTGGCGAGGCTGGCTCGGGCCAGGGCGGGAGGCAGCTCGTAGAGATTCTTTGCCTGTCAGGTACAAGTGGGGGTGGGCAAGGAGAGACTTCAAAGGCTTCCACCTCGGAGGAGGCGGGTTGCAAGCAAGCAGTGGGGTTGTTGATGGCACCCTGTCCGCTTGTGCAGGATCGACGGCTGGCGGAGGCGTGCGCTGAGGTGGAAGCCACCCTAGGCGGGAAGAACCAGGCAGGCTGGGAGCTGCCTCGCTTTGCACGCTTCCCTCCGCATGTAGCATTCTCTTCAATCAGGACACGGCGGCGGACAGAGCCAGTGTCGTGGTCGTGGCGGTGGTCGTGGACGTAGCTGTAGCTTTAGCAGTAGCAGCAGCAGTAGCAGCAGCAGTGCAGTAGCAGCAGCAGAAGCAGGAGCGGCAGCAGGAGTGGTAGTAGTAGTAGAAGAAGAAGAAAAAAAAAGAAACGGAAGCACAGGGGAGGAGCAGGAGAAGTAGGAGCTGGCTTGGGTGCCAGCATAGGTACTTCTGGCTTAGGGCGTAGGGCTTTGTACTTCTGATAGCTTTTTTCATGGGTCTACCCCCTCAAGGTTTTTCCTTGATCAGGGATACTTTGGGATAACTATGGTTCATTAGGCCAAGTAAGGCGGAATCTAGGGGGGCGGAATCTAGGGGGGCGTAATATAAAGGGGATACAGGGGAACCCATGATAATAAGTATTTCTGGTATTTGTTAAATGCCCGGCAGCTTTCCGTGCATCTTCTCGCTTCAGCTATTGGAGGATGATCACCCACTTCCGCAACGAGGAGCTACTCCTGCCTTTCTTCATCATCCACCACGCCCCACTGTTCGATAAGGCGGGGATTCCTCAAGCAAGCGGAATCTAAGGTTGAAAAACATGGGCCCCTAGCACGGCCTGAACCCTGGGATCCTTACATACCCACTACATACCCTAAATATACCCTAAAGGGTGCCTAGAAGCCTTAGAATCCCGCTAAAAGGCCTAAGGGC